TGTTTCTTCTCGGTCTGAAAAACCCAATTGAGTCTTTTTAACCTCAGCTGCAGCTCGCAAATGAGTGAGGAAAAAACGAGTCTCCTCCAAACCACTGACAAGACCAGTTTGCGCAGGTTTACTTTTCCATGGATACCTGCGTATTTCCAAGAATCTTTTCCTTCACATTTCCAGAGAAAAGTTCTGACAGGATGAAAATCACTCATTTACCTAACAGAGAGACAATTATGAAGGGAAAAATCTCTTGGCAGGTTTTTAACAGAAACAACTGGGAAACTGTCATGCTGGAAAAGGAGAGGAAGCACAAAGTCTACAGTTGTTTAAAGACTTTAACCCAGAAGACACACACTAACAGGAACATTAGCTTGGCCAGTTTACGATGACTGCTGACGACTGCAGGCTTTGCCCTCACCCTTCTAGAGCATAGATTCAGCTTCCCAAAATATTCCTCTGAAATATGCTTTTTGTATACTGCGTGAAACCTCCATAGGAGGCGACATCCATAATCCATTTTCTAACCACTTTATTCAGTATAAATGTATCCACAGTGCAGCCTGAGCCTTTACTGGTAAACTACAGGCACAAGACAGCAGGCACCCTGGATGGGATGCCAGTCCATTGCAGGGCAGACACAGACACAAACGTACGCGTGTTCAGACTCTGGGGTTAGTTTTCCCAGAAGCCAATGAACCTGCCAGCGTGTCTTTGGACTGTGGAGGGGAAACCCACACGAACACGGGGAAGAGAACATACAAACTCCACACAATAGTACCCCAGGAATTGAACCCAGGGTCCCATCACTGCGAGAGAAAAATGCCAACCACAACCACTGGGCAACCATTTCTCGCTAGAGGCTACATAAGATACAACATTCATAACCCTTTATGACTGTTGTTCTGAAAGACATGACAGGTGTTCATTCTATTTGTGAAAGTGCACATTCCAGTATGTTTTAGGTTCAGAACTATGGTTAGGGTTAGAACTCAGTGTCAGGGTTAGCATTAGGATTTGAGAAATTGTGAAATTTTTTGCAAATATTGTCTTTTGCAAGGCTTATGAACCTTGTTATGACATCTTAGGTATCCACTAAGAAAGTATTGTGAAGGTATTATGCAGGTTCCATAAAGCTTAATTGAGAAATAAGAAACCAGCACAAAGATACCACTCAAACACACATTTTTAACATTACCTCAGTTTGTAATGTGACCATGGCTGTATCAAGCCAGATTGAATGCACCTTAAGAGCAGCAGAAGCCAAACAGGATCTGTTTTATTAATCACGCATAATTGCAGCTCCCTGTATACTCTGAGCAGGCTGTAGCAAATAAATTAAGTACTGAGCTAATGAGAAGCAGTTCAGTGTGTGACAGCAGCAACACTGAACACCTGTCTCTTTTCGGATGGAGTTACAAGGTGCCGTTCACTAGTATCCCATGAGGGTTTGACCTCGGACATGGTTATAGTCCTAATGCGTATGGCACAATGGCAATTTAAGCAGTAAAAAAAAAATACAGACTAGATCCTCACCCAGCACCACCATTACCACCCAGTCAGTAAATCCTATTATATGTGCTCTCTAACTCGGTGTCTTAGGCTGTGTGAGGCACCAATAGCCCCAGTAGCCTGAAACATCCCAAGAACCCAACCCAAGAAATCCATCTTTATCGCAGTGTGCTTTTTCCCTGTTGCTTCATTGGCGTCCCACCTGCTTGCCTGATTTACTCTTGTTAAGGAAAAATCAGGGTGGCGCTGCGATTGGTGAGCTCCCTGTTGATTTTCTTTTGGCGTTAAACTTACATTCACTGGAATCAGCCATCATAAATCCTTCACAAGACATCCCACGCTTGTGATGTAACAGATTTCTGCAGCAGGTGTGTCCTTGACAGTGGAAGAGAGTAATAATGGTCTTTCTATAAGCAGCCGTTGACCTCTGTAATCCCTTGCTGATCCCTAGTGTTCTAGCTCCCCGCTGCAGAGATCAGTAGCCCAGCCTCTGCCCGGCGAGATCTCCAGCCAGAGTCCAGTCGTCAGGGTATCGCTGGGGCTCTTTGTTTTCTGCCTTTGCTTTCCCCCCCCTCAATAGTACAGAACTGTCCCATCACAATGATCTTGGAATCCCATGATCTGGCATCAGGAAGCAGGAGTCAGATGAAGCATGTTAAAGAAATAGGCATCCGATTTTTCTCGTTCAAGTGCGTGGGCACAGCCTTGAGAAGAACAAAACAGAGACACAGAAGTTAGATTTCAGTAGTTGGACTCTCAGAAGCCCAGAATCTCCAACTGTGAGAACTTAATGATCCCTGGGTGTCATGTGAGGTGAGGCTGTACTGAGACTGACACTGCTTGACCTTTACTTGAAGATTCAGCTACACTTTCCTGCTCTCCCGGGTCTTGGAAGAACTGTATGCTCAGACTGCCTTTGGAGAAAAGAGAATGAAGTCCATGTGGATTAAATGTATGAGGCGAAAAAATGTTTTTTTCAGCTCAGGCACAAGAAGCACAATAGCAGCACAATTAGTTTAAAGCAGACGTTTGCACTAAATCTTGTTGTACTGTCCAGCAGAGTCCTGGGAAATGGTCTCTTACTTTGCTGCTGTGCATAAGTGTAGAGCTATGGAAAACATCTTTCGGATTTGTATTTTTATATCCCACTAAAGAAGAAAAGTAAGTCACTTTAATATATTATTCCCTGAAGGGCACTGTTCTTAAAAGACGTCTTCACCTTGGAATTCATTTTTACAGTATTGCCATGGGTGTCTACAAAATTCCCCTCAGAACATTTCAGCTTTTCACTACTTTGTGGCAGGAAGACGCACTGACCATTGCACACCTATAA